GTTAACGAGGAGGGTAAATGAATCTGTCACCGTACCGGAAAACCCTCTTAAATAAACCTGCGTTATATTTTTATCCGTTCAGTCATTCCTTTCACTCCGGTGACAAGAACATAAACCCAACAAACAGAACGCTTCCATATATTAGCCTGGAACGGTTAATCATGCAAACTTCCATTCAGCTAATGTGAGTCAGTTGTTCATTAGTCGTCTTGCGACTGTTCCCTCGATCCCTCATACGGCGAAAAAGATGAATCCAATTAATTAGAATTAAGTGTGAAGGGAATGCTGACTCCAAATTGATTCTGTACGTTGATGCAAATGGATAGACATTTACGTACCCGCGGATGTACAGCCGCTGTCAATGAGCTATATTAATCAGTGTTACGGGTCAGCGCATCATGATTACATATTAACTGTCATCAAAAGGACCTTGATGAGCTGCGACCTATATACCGGGTGCTGCCGCAGGTTCCGTACCGGAAAAAAAAAGGGACCTTGATACATAGAGACACGTGCATGGTTGCATGCCCCTTTGGCGTTTCTGCAGCCGCTGGCCCCATTCCCATTGGCCGGAGTGGAAAGAGAGCTTTCGCTATGAGCTCCTGCCATTTGTCAATTCGTTGACCCGTACGGAGAGCGGACATGATACCGTTGATGGGAGTTGAGTCAGTGCCAAATGGCACAGAAAAAAAAACAGCGCGCTGGCCTCGTGAAGCACGTTCTACCGTTTATTAGGAAGAAAGCCAAAATATATACTCAAAAACAACATAAAGAAGCCAGCCACATAAGACATAGAATCCAAGCACGCCTCTAGCACCAATAAGCGGAAATAAACTGCGAAAACTGCAATGGGGGTCCCTTCCCCGTTTCATCATCGGCCCCGATGGCCAGAGGCACAATTGGATTGTACATTGTTTCAGTATTCAGTTCCTGTCGGTCAGCTGAGTTATACGCTTCTATGCCGGTTCACCATAATTGTGTTTTGTTCACTCCGTGGCTTTTTGTTTTATTCTGTTTTGTTTATATTACCAGATTACTCCTATCTGTCATAAGAGCTGCTGGCCAAGATGATGTTTGTAAACCGAAGAGCATTGATTATATATTGTGAGATATAAATAGTTTATCAACTCAATCTTGCCTGAAGCACCGTGGGATTACAAAACTTTTCAGAGGCAAACAGCATTCTGTACAACATGTTCTTTTCCTGTGCAGCCAATCGGAAACCATTAGAGCCATCCTTTTCAGCTTTATTTAAGAAAGCAGACTCTCGTTAAAGTGTACATTGTAAGGCCAAGAGTTTGTAGACACCTGACCATCACATCTACAGCAGATGACCAGAAGTTTACAGTATATGACCAAGAGTTTGTAGACACCTGACCATCACATCTACACTATATGACCAGACGTTTGTAGACATCTGACCATCACATCTTCTACACTATATGACCAGATGTTTGTAGACACCTGACCATCACATCTATACTATATGACCAGATGCTTGTAGACACCTGACCATCACATCTTCTACACTATATGACCAGATGTAAGAGGAGAGGAGAATTCTTCCAATAGAGACACCTGCACTGGTGACAACTGTCTAGGAGTAGAATTGCCCTTTGTAGGGATTTCTTAGTACTTCTTGTTGCGGCTTTGGGGCAGGGAGTGAAGGGAAAGCTCTCTAGCAGGGCACAGGGGCATGGGTTTTAACTAGGGATGCACCAATACCGATTTTAGTATTGGTATCAGTGCTGATACCGAGTATTTAGGCGATACTTATTCTGATACCGGAACTTCCAGTATCAGGAAGCCGGGCAACAAGTCATTACATGCCACCCGGCTTCCTGATTGGCTGGGAAGCTGGGTCCTTGCTCCCTCGTCACCAGGGAGCATGAAGCCAACTTCCAGGCCAATTAGGAAGCTGGGGGGCAGGTAATTCTCCCCACTCCGGCTTCCTGACTGGCCAGGAAGCCGGCTCCATGCTCCCTTGTCACTTGGTGACGGGAGAGCATGGTGCCGGCTTCATGGCCCATCAGGAAGCCGGGTGGCATGTAATGACTTGTTGCCCGGCTTCCTGATACTGGAAGTTCCGGTATCAGAATAAGTATCGCCTAAATACTCTGTATCAGCACCGATACTGATACTAGTATCGGTATTGGTGCATCCCTAGTTAAAACCCATGCCAGTCTAACTGTGCCCTGCTAGAGAGCTTTCCCTTCACTCCCTGCCCCAAAGATGCAACAGGAAGTACAAAGAAATGGTTTGATTGGTCGGGAAGCATTACTCAGAGTCACCTGGTGATGAGGGAGCATGGAGTTGGCTTCCCGGCCAATCAGGAAGCTGGGCGACGTGTAATGACTCACTGTCCGGCTTCCTGATTGGTCGGGACGTATTACCCCGAGTCGCCTGTTGACGAGGGAAAATAGAGCCGGCTTCCCAGCTTATCAGGAAGCTGGGTGGCGAGTCGGCGCGTATTGGTATTGGTAAGTACTGGGAAAAAAAAATATTGGTACTCGTGTTCGATACTGAAAAAAACGGTATCGGTACATCCCTAGTTTTAACACTTCCCTACTCTACCCCAAATTTTAATTAAAAAAATATATATATTTATATACTGTATATCGGCTGTACATGCATTCTAAATTTACTTACACTTAGAGGTGTATTTATAAATAACTCACAGAGCCATACGCCATATACATTCGATCTGTGCCAATGGGGGCAAAAATGAATGTTATCAGTATATTTTCTTTCCGGATTGAATGTATTATCAGGACAATACCACCTTTTGGCCACTAGATGGCACTGAGGAGCACCGGAACTAAATACTCCTTTCCTATGCTCCTCAGCTCCATCTAGTGACCATAATGTGGTATTTTGCCAAAATTACATTCTAACCAGACAGAAAGAATACTAATTACATTCGGCTTTTACCATTCGCACAAAATGAATGTGCACGCCGGATGAACAGCTCTGCATTTTTTTTTAGATACACCCCTTAATTCTACATTTCCTCCCCCATGCAGTACAGAAATTATCTTCATGCTGGGTGCAAACGGGTGATTTTTGCTAGCGCGGTCATGCTACCAAAATTGCCAGTGATCTCCCCCCATTAGGGGTCATTTGCTACACATAGGGGACAATAGACTGTAGCGTGTAAAAGCTATTCATCGCATGTGCTATTTTGGCCAATCGATCTCTGCTACACGCAACTGCACATGTAGCGATCGCTCGGGAGTAACCGTGGCCGTTTTTTAGTAGCACTGTCGCACCGGCCATAAGTTCTTTGTGTGCGCCTAGCCTTCAATCAGAGTTCCAGTGTCTCCTCTTGCCCTGGCTGCACAGAATCCGCCATCTCCAGAGGCCCCGCGCCTGAGCCGAGATTCTATGGACAGTCTCTGGAGAACGTATAGGACGCGATTACGGGACGCCGCAGTGACACAGGCGCTGCACATGGTGCGGAGTGGCTGCGCCGCGTCGGGTCAATAGGAAACTGAAGTTTCTTTTTCTGTAAACAAACAAATCCTATTATGTTGCAGCTTCAGCTGTCAGATAAGATGCACCATCAAAAATCCCTGGAAAGCCGGAAAGAAAGCCAGGCGGCCTTTATGCGGTTGCATGGAGCGCATTAAATGATGACAGAGCCTGGCGCCCTCGCAGCTGTGCCTGTGTCGGTATTAATGCTCCATTGTTGTCTATGAGAGAAATAAATACAAAGCCACAAACCGCATTATTCAGCCGGGCGGGAGCTGCGCTCAGCACAGAGCAACGGCTCTTAAAGGGATAATCCACTCTGACATTACTCAATCTGATGCCATTATCTACCTGCTGAATACCTATCATCTTCGTCTGAGACGGAGCCTCACAGTACTCTCAGCTTCTGATTGGCTGGTAATATAAGTGTGGTTTGGGAGTAGGCGTGCCTTTTATCCTCCGGGCCCCCCCCGGGATTTGGGGCACTATTTATAGTAGATGTGGAATGCTCTTGCTGTAATATAGACCCGGGGTTGCTCCCTCTAGGGTGGGTGAGGGGCTGGAGGCATCTTTCATGATGTCCGCATTGTCCTGGTCAGAGTGATGCTGGTCAGAGAACGTCTCCTCCGTCCCTCCCTGACCAACCGCAGACCAATCCTTCTCTCATCTCCTCATCACTACATCTGGGGGAGCTCACTTCCTGACCCCAAATGTACCTCATAGACCCCCACAGGGTTCTAAATATTTATCTAAATATTATCTTCATATCTATATTTCCTTCTTTCTCTCTTGCCCCCCCCTCCCTCTCACCCCCCTCCCTCTCT